CTTATAAGGCAGAAGCCACTCCGTCACCCGGTGGCGCTGCTGACATCCGCGATGGGAGCTCCAACATCGAGGCGCGCGGTTCCTATTTTTTTCTTTTTCTTATTCCCCTCTCTCTCTCTCTCTCTCTCTCTCTCTCGCTCTCCTCGGCGGCCGTGTTCCAAATCAATCACACCACGACACTACACACTCCACAGGCGCGCGCGCCCTCGCGGCCTCCGCTCGCCGTGAGATGCGCAGAGAGGGTTGCGTCATGTATCAAGGCGCCATGTGCAGCTCGCGGGGCGTGGCGGGGCGCGCCAGGTGTCAAATCCAATAAGCCTGGTCTAGGCTTCCTCCTCCCCCTCTCCGTGCCGCTTTGCAGCTCGATGCAAACACACACGTCACGTCCCACAGCTGATGCAGCAGGAAGAGCCAGCCCTGGCGCGGGTACACACACACACACACCGGCAGAGCCATTTTAGTAGTTATTTGTTTTTTCCTCCCCTGCTTTTTATATTTTTTCATTGTGTATTCCGGTGGGCAGCAGCCAGGAGGTGCGGGGTGCGCGGGGGCTCTCCCCGTGCGCGCTGCGCGTGGTGGCCTTGGCAGTCGCGCTGCTCTGCGCTGCTCTGCGCTGCTCGCCTCGCGGCCACACGACCCGGGCGGACCAGGGCGGCCCTTTAAAGGAGATGCGCCGGCCACGCACTCGCACGCACCGAGGCGCGCTGGACCGAGGCGGGAGAACAACAACATCAACAACAACAACCAACAAGAGGATACATTACACACCGAAACGCAGAGAGGAGGAGAGATGGAGATTCTTATTTTTGCGAGAGGGGAGGAGAAGGACCCCAACGCCGCGCCGCCGCCCACGCGGCCGAGAAGCGCCTGAAACGAGTCGAGGGGAGGGAATGATCTTGGCCCCACCCGCGGGCGACAAACTTGAGGGCAGGGGCCCAGAATCAGACCAGAGGCGAAAGTGAGAGAGACCAAATCAAACGCTGACCCTCAAAGTCACCGTCCTCCGCGGCGACGTAGGCCTACCGGCCGGGGCCCGAGCTGGGCAGGCCATCGTGTCGTAAAAGAGACGGGCCCCGCAGTCTACTTTTCAGAAGCTCTAATAAAATTTCGCGGCCGCAGTAGGGAGCCCATCCTCATTCCAACCAGTACAGTCAAAAAAACAACAGCGTTGGGTTCCGGGTTCGTCCTCTGTCACCATCAAATGTTCCTGATAATTTTGTCCTTAAACTTCAGAGTCCAAATGTTCATCCAAATGCTTGTTTCAAAACAACGCACGATGTCACGAAAGTCGACAACAGGACGTTGTAAGTTTCCAACCCAAAATCTAAACAGAGTACGCCCCCGCGAGGAGACACGGCATCGGCTCGTCGTCGTGGTCCAACGTTGTCCGCCGCGGGGGATGGCGTCACCTCGCAACCCGCGGGCCTGCCCGTCATGTCGACGACGACATCGAGGACCACCGAAACATCGGCGGGCGGGGGTCTCGACCATCATCATTACGACGCCGTTAGTTAACGACGTCCGTTGCGCAAAGGTTCACGACGATGAAAACAAACAAGGTTCCTCCGTCGTAGCTGCTGCTGCTGCTGCTCCCCGCGGCAGACACAGTTTTTGTCTTCTTTGTATTTCCTTGTTGCTTTTCCACCAAAGCTGTAATTACGGTCGGGTCGGTAATGGTCGGGGGGAGAGGGGGGGGGGTGGCAGCTCTGCTTGTGCACTGATGGCAACGCGGTTTGTCGCCTACGAACGCGTTTTCAGAGCCGTGGATCATTCGAGGCGCCTGAAGCGACCGGGACGCCGCGCCCCACATCACCAGGCCCGTTGGCCCCACCACCTTCCCGTGCAACAGCAAACGAGGAGGAGGCGGTTTCTGATGTGAGTTTGTACGATTTCGTCATGTTCTCATACTTTTTGTAATTAGTTTTCTTTACAATCGTGCGTTTTGTTGCAGTGGTTCATGATGAATGACAGGGCGTTGCCCATCCCGCAACCTCTCCCGCTCAACCTATTGGTGCCGTGGGCGGAGCGGCGTATTGAGGGGGACGAGGAGACAGCAGCTGTAAGTGTGTTTTTCTGTTGCCCGTGATGAAATGGATCCTGTGCTTGATTGATTTCTAATCACGTATACATGTCACAGGAGGATGCATGTGTGCGTGCAAAGGGGTTCCAACAACCACCCGTCGGTGTGGTGCGCTGGCACCAGCCCCAGCAAGGACCTTCTACTCCTCCCGTCACCGCTGCAGGTGCTGTTCAGCAGAGGGCCCCTCTTCGCATGGTGCCCCAAGAGGGAGAACCCTCCCGTCTATATCAGGTGCCCCAGCTTCTCCATGCCCAGGCGCGGAGCAACATTCAGGCCTTGCAGCGCCCACATAGCGCCCCACCCCGTTTTTTACATGCATCAGCTGCGAACTCGGGCCGCACGGTGAAAGTTGTTAGTGTGACTTTTTTTTTCTTTGTTTTCGTTGTGATCTTCAAAATTTTAAATCAATTTCGTATTTTTACAGATTGATCCCATCATTACTACGAAGATGAGGAGGAAGTAGTAGTAGTAGCTTTTTTTAGAAGCGTTATTTTTCACTAATTTTTCCACTAATTTTTTGTACTTAAAAATAAAATCATGTTGCATTGCATTCTATGTGTTTCATTTTTGGAACTACCTCAGATTGTCACGATCAAGTTTTGGTTGAAGTGTGTTGTCTAAACACTAACTCAGTTAATTTGTGATGTGGTTTTAGTTTCACATCAAGAAAACAATGTTTTCTATTGTAGAATCATATTTGAAATGAGAAAATTTGTTTGCAAGTCTTAAACGATTCAATTTTAAAGTGTGGTCAACAAGATCCAAGTTCACGAGTTAGTTTGATTTAAAGAAAAAGGTGAAGTCTTTTTTATTTCTAAACTTGTATTTGGTTTTCTCAATTATTTTTTAAAACTTGAAACAAATTACATCAGAGCAAAGATTTTCTCTATCAGAAAATCAATATGATAATAAATGAGTTCCTGTTTTATCAGCTCATGCTCATGCTTCCCTGAGCGCTTCTCGGCCAGTTGAGCAACCGCCTCTGGAAAGACTCACCCCCTTCAGGGGTGCCAGCAGGTTAGGGAGCAGCCAGAGCAATCAGTACCGACCACGCCGTCACCCGAGCTGATCGCCAGAACTCCGAGACCTCCGAGACCTCCGAGACCCTCGAGACCCTCGAGACCCTCGAGACCCTCGAGACCCTCGAGAACTTCGCTCACCTCATTCACCCCCATTCTCGCTCATACAAACAAAGACTAGTTCACCCAAATAGTCATCATCGATTTTTGCTTTCTGTGATCACGGAAAAAATATATAATACCATTGTCATCGCCTTGATAAGGCACACGGTTGGGTTCGCCGGCTACCCCACAAGGGGCCCGGAGGGTAGAGGGGGAGACCTCCCCCGCTTTCCGCGTCGCACCCTTTAAATTCCACTGGCTAAGGGCCGGCGGTCCGAGTGAGCGGGGGGTGGGTGCAACCAGCGACAGGCACAGTCGGTCTCCCCCCAGTGCTTCGCCTTGAGGATGAGAACAGCCACCCGCCCTCCAACAGCAACGCGGTGAAAGCCCGTCTCAGGGAAAAAATTTTAACACTTGCCCGGCGAACCCTGCCGCGGTGACCCACTCACCCCAACATACGTGTTCCGCCGTGACCGGCTTTGCACAAGTCCCCGGCTTCGGCTGGGGCGGCTGGTCCGGTGTGCATAGCGTTAAGCACCGCACCAAAAATTTTCTACCCCCGCTACGGCGTTAGGCCGTTAGTAGCTTACGAGCACCACTCATCTTTCATCCCCTGCGTTAGGCCCTGCCTTCACGCTTAACTACCCCCATGCCAGCATCAGGCTGGGGCGTACATACCAAGAATCAAGCAATCCACCCAGCTCTCGCTCAGGTGAGCGGAGCTCTTGGCCACACGATCAGCTAAGTCAAGCAGCACGGAAGGGGAACCGCCCGGCCGTCTCCAAGCTTGACCGATCAGCTAAGTCAAGCAGCCCGGAAGGGGAACCATCCAGCGCAAGGACACTCGACCTGGCTATCCTCGATAAGCAAATGCGTTAGGCCCCGCGCCTTAACGCTCAACCTCAATCTACGCTAGGCCTCAGTGCCTTCGCAGTCTGCCACCACATCTTGTGTTCCGCTGATTCGGGTTTGCACTAAATCAAGGCTTGCCTTGAATACCTGAGTCAGTGCGCATAGCAAGAAAGTCACCCTTGAATGTCAAGGCAATCCGGAGCTTGCCCCACCAAAAGGAGTACAGCAAATGGATCTACTTTCTTCCTGAATTTTCTTAGAAGAAAGATAAGAGAAGACAGGATGGACAAACAAAAGCAGAGGCACAAATCAGTGCACCACCCCTACAAGGCACCCAAAGAGGGTGAACAAAAACCAAGAAGACGTCGCACAGATGAGAATTCGCCAGCAAGTGCCAATGCAAAAGACGAGCTCAACCCGCTTACTCGACAACTCCAGGAGATCTTCGGAGAAGCTGAGACACCTGTCTCAACAGCACCAAGTACCCTCACCACCAACAGTGTGACAACAACGAGCACCACGACAACCACCATGTACACCCAGCCGATAATGACGACCTCAACAAGCCAGCTAGGAGCAACCTCCTTGAACCACCTCCAATCACCACTCAATGAACATGACCTTCAACAACTAATGGCATCAGCCTCACAAATCAACGCAGATAGCCAAGAGATTATTCCTAGCTCTCAACCGGTACAGCAACCAGCACAGCAATGGCCCAGAAGATTTGTAAGGAGCGTCACGCTCCAACAAATGACACCAACAGAGTACAAAGTTCAAAAAATATCACCAGTGAAAGAAAAAATACAACTGCCAATCATACCAGAAGTAAAGGTTCACATAAAAACCCTTCAAGAAGCCAAGAACTTTCTCCAATTCAGAACGGAAGAAGAAATCGAGAAAACAATTCAAGAAGCCCACAAAATGGCAGAGAGAGGAAAAACAATTCCACCAGTACACCAGTGCGTTATAGACAGTATTTACATTCTAAACGAAGAGACTGAGAAAGAAGAAACAGAGTTGAACCCACCAAAAAGGGCCAAACCCACAGACAAAATAGGACTTTCATTCAAAGGAGTATATATCAAAACAATCGAAGAAGCATACGACCATATAAACAAGACAGACAAGGCATACATAGACTCACATCTGGACAATGTGAAATGGAAACAGGCCAATGGGGAAGACATCGAGGAGGAAGAACAAAGAACGGCAGATGCTGTCAGGATAATACAGAACTATGAGGAACAGAAGAAGGAACAACTAGAAAAAGAGAAAGAGAGAGAAAGGGCAGAAAAGAAAAAGGAGCTACAAGAGCAAAAAGAGAGAGAAAAAGAACTGAAAAAAGAAGAACAAAGGAAGCAAAGAGCACAGTGGTCAGATAAGAAAAACACCAGGAAGCTCACAGTCAACACCAATACCTCGAGTTTTGAAAGCCCAAATAGCTTTGAAGCGCTGCAAAGCCCTACAGATGATGAAGACAACGCAAATACACCAGTGCTTACAGAGGATGGAAAAAATGAAGAACCAAAAAACAACCCCCAAGACCCAAGGAGGAAACCCCGAAAGGATCAATTACCACCCTTAATCCTATCAAAAATCAACAACTTTGGTGAGTTGCAGAGTCTGCTGCTCTCCGAAGTGGGAGCGGGTAAATTTGAATGCCACGCAAGAGGGCCTAGTATATCAATTCATACGAAAAAAGATGAAGATTGGTTCAAAATTCAAACATTACTAAAAGCAAAAGGATACAGCTTCCACACTTATGCAAGAGAGAAAGCTAGACCAATCCAACTAGTAATAAGGTATATACATAATAGCATAGATGAAGAAACTATCAAAGACGCACTCACCGCAAGAGGCTACCAGGTACTCAACATCCACAGAGTTAAAAGGGAAGGAGAGCCGACAGATGAAATTAATATAGACCTGGAAAACAATGCAAATGCGCAGGATATCAAGACTGTCAAACAGTTACTCCACCATAGAGTCAACATCGTGGATCGAAGGAAGCCGCTTGTTACAATTTGCACAAGATGTTCAGGATACCACCATTCAAGAGCATCATGCTTCAAAACTCCACTATGTCCTAAATGCGGGAACAAGCACCCTCTTAGCGAGTGCACAGCATCAGAACCAAACTGCCCAAACTGCAACGAAGAGTACAAACACCCGGCAACTTGGAGGGGTTGCCCGACGTACAAAGAAGAAGAGAAAAAGATAAAGGAAAAAAGAAACACGGAAAGAACACCAAGAGCGACTCCTAAACCTACCCACCAAAATCCATGGACCAGGCGACCCAGCAAACCCAAAACGCCGACCGAAACGGACATCAACAAATTACTTACAACAATGAAAACAAACAACAAGCCAGCAACTCCCGTCAACACTGAGAAACCACAAGCCAGCTCCAACTTTCTAGAAGGACTAATAGATACCAAAGACATAATGGCAATGTTGACAGAAACGTTAAAGGAAACAATTAAGCCCATCATAGCCTCATTAATACAATGGGCTAAAGAAAACCTGACAAACTGGATAAGGGACAATGTAAAGACACTAATGCTAAATCTTATTAAAGAATGTCTGCCATCATGAAAATTATCAGCTGGAATGTGAACGGATACTCAAAAAGAGCCAACGAAGTATCTCTCCTAATTTCAAAATACGAACCTGATGTAATGCTCATCCAAGAAACACATCTCAACGATCAAGCAAAAATAACCACACTGCCTGGATACACACTACTACGCAGAGACCGTCAAGGAAAAAGAAAAGGAGGGGTAGCAATACTCGTCAAAAACACAATAGACTTCGCAGAAGAGGAAATAGACACAGCGACAGCGGAATCTTTGACTATTAGCCTGCAAACCAACCAAAGCAGGACATTAACCGTCACCTCAGTCTACTGTCCCCCGAATATGAAAGTGAAAAAACCAGATCTCTTCAAATTACCAGGCAACAAACCATCAGTATTAATAGCAGGAGACCTCAACGCAAAAAACATTACCTGGGGGCACAAAACGACTAATTATTACGGAAGATGGGTTGAAGAATTCTGCGAGGTCCATCAACTGCGACTTCATATCCCTGACGAGCCAACCAGGAATGCAAATAGCAAAACAGACATGGAGGATGTGCTAGATTACGCAATAGCGTCAGAAAATATACAACTAACACACAAAGTACTAAACGACACTTTCAACACCTCTGACCATATCCCAATACTGCTCACAATCACGTCACACACTGCAGACAAGACAACAACAAGCCAACAATATCAGACAAGATGGGACTTAGTCACGAAAGAGATCAACAGACCTTACAATCTAACAGGTGACATTGAATATGACACCAATCACTTCACAGCTACCCTACAAGCCGCTCTACTTAACCATACATATGTCAAAAAGGGAAAGAGGTACAAGGTCCATGCCGACAAAGATATCTTAGACCTCACTGTAAGGAAGAAAGCCGCAGATAAGGCATATGCAAGAACAAGAAGTCAAGCAGACAAACAGAAACAGAAGAAACTGAAAAGAGAACTAAACAAAAAACTCAAAGAAAAAGAAGAAGA